CTAATCTTCCGTTGCCGTCTGAAAATGGGTTAAATGTAAAAACTCTATAACGAACCAAGCGGCTATTTCCATGATGTGTTTAGTAGGCGACGTTATCCTCTCGTTGTATCTATCTACGAGAACGTACATCGAGTCCTTTATGTAAAAACGACTCGCGTATGTTTTAATGTTACCTTTCCAACACGTAATTCTATCTTTTGTGGAGAACTCACCCCCGTACTTTGGTAACATCATTAATTTTTATGAATTTCTTGTATCAAACATACTGTCAATAAACAACTTTTTATGGTTTTCATGTACAAATATGGCGAAGCCTGAGTCGACTATTTGCTCATAGATAACGAAGGCGAGTTGTCTAATTGTTTTAGTATACACCCTGTACCTAGATATATTAATTTCGAGAAAATAATCGATACACCACAATTACACCGAAAAATAATTTAATTAATTCAATTTTATACGGTCGCGCGAGCGAATTTTTCCCAAACGTTCACTATCACGAATAGACAATGGTTGAGTAGCCAATCAGAATGTAGGATTTGTAATAGACAATAGTCGGGTGTATACTAATGAATGATATTCCATATTCTAATAATTTGCCCCTACCAGAAAGCATGACCCGATTATCACGGAGGTGTATGTATTTACATCAATGAGACATATAAATATGAACACCTAGAGAATCTGAGTTGCTGTGACAATCACAAAAGTTTATGGGACCTAGTATGGGACCTAGTCCTCAAGGGTTATCCTGTACTGTATAATTGCAGCTGTAATATACCACCAGCCTGGTGCAGATGGTAAATTAATGCAAGATTACCTGGTCCAAATGCTTACTTTGGTGGAATCAAAATATCCAAATTGCGGGTTAATTGTGACTGGCGACTTTAATCGCCTCAATATCACTTGTTTGCCCAATCACTTCTGTCTCAAACAAATTGTAAAGATACCTACCCGTAAAGATGCTATTTTAGATCTTATTTTAACCAACATGCCTAAATATTATAACCTGCCCAAAGGTTTCCCAGGATTCGAAAGCTTCAAGTGCTAATATATTAAGTGCTAATATGTTGAAAGATTCTCAAACCTAACCCCACAAGAATAAGCAAATACCATCAATACAGCTTTCCTTGCACCACTTGAAGAATACAAATCTTCCACTCCCCTTAGACGCCTTCCATTAGAAGATTCACCTAAATTTTTAGAAGTTAACAAGGAACATGTTCAAAAGGTTCTAGCAAAGCTTAACCCTAGTAAGGCCTGTGAGCCAGACCAAAATACCTAACTGGCTCTTGAAGGAATATTCATATATTGTTGCTTTTCCCATTACGAAAATTCTTAATTTATCTTACAGCGAACAACTGATACCTATAGCCTGGAAGATGGCAGATATATCCCATTACCAAAGAAGAAACCAATTAGCTGTATACAAACTGGTATTATACATGAGAAAGGAACCATAACAATAAATGCACATAGTGTAAAATGTGATGGCATGTGGATGTAAGATTAAAAGAACTATAATACTCAAATTATGATTTATAAATTTAGTAAAATATATCTCAGTCTTTTAGTCATGTGGTATTTGCATTGATATAACGATATTACGGTATGTTTTCTTTTTATGGGTTCGAACCTTTGCGTGTGTTTGTAAGGTCAGTACTTTTATTACTAATATACCAAATTATTAGCTAGTAATTTTTACTTGTACACACTTTGTAATCACGACGCTTGAATATTCTGCAAAATCTGGCAAATATCAATATAAATATCATAAAATATCATATTCTGGCGTTGTTTATACGAAAGATTAAATATGTAAAAACAAAAGAACTATAATACATAGACACGAGTCACAAGTAAATGCAAAATGGGTAGCGTTTTTACAGCTTTCCAAAGCATTTGTTTTGGCCTTCTAGTGTATTTTGCCAAAGTGCAAGAATAGACTCAATAGAGATAGAATTATACAAAGAGAAGCATTTTTACAGCTTTACATGGAAATTATACTACGCTATATATTATCAAAGATTACAACTTTAATTTAATGCACATAAATGTTTGATATTGATAAGGTTTGAAGGCTTCAGAGCATCAAATTGAATTAACCATTTTACTCATGCTATCCATACTGTATAAACACAGTTTCTACTGGCCAACCTGCTGACCAAGGACTTGAAGTCTTGACAATGTTAGTTTCAACTATTCACAGTATGAAATCTAGTTTAATTTATTATTTTAATGTTTATTTACATACTATTCATGTACTGTAACACAGTTTCCACTGGTTGCCGAAAGACTCTAGGTCTTGACAACCTGCTGACTAAAGACTCGAAGTCTTGACAACATAAGTTTTCACTACCCACAGTACGAAATCTAGTTTAATTTATTATTTTAATGTTTAATTACATGCTATTCATACTGTAACACAGTTTCCACTGGTTGCCGAAAGACTCTAGGTCTTGACAACCTGCTGACTAAAGACTCGAAGTCTTGACAACATAAGTTTTCACTACCCACAGTACGAAATCTTGTTTAATTTATTATTTTAATGTTTATTTACATACTATTCATACTGTAACACAGTTTCCACTGGTTGCCGAAAGACTCTAGGTCTTGACAACCTGCTGACTAAAGACTCGAAGTCTTGACAACATAAGTTTTCACTACCCACAGTATGAAATCTAGTTTAATTTATTATTTTAATGTTTATTTACATACTATTCATACTGTAACACAGTTTCCACTGGTTGCCGAAAGACACTAGGTCTTGACAACCTGCTGACTAAAGACTCGAAGTCTTGACAACATAAGTTTTCACTACCCACAGTATGAAATCTAGTTTAATTTATTATTTTAATGTTTATTTACATACAATATATTCATACTGTAACACAGTTTCCACTGGTTGCCGAAAGACTCTAGGTCTTGACAACCTGCTGACTAAAGACTCGAAGTCTTGACAACATAAGTTTCACTATGCACAGTATGAAATCTAGTTTAATTTATTATTTTAATGTTTATTTACATACTATTCATGTTGTAACACATTTTGTATATAGGCAAAATTACAGAGTGCCCTCGTTACAAGTTCTCCTTCAAGATTTTCAATACTTCTGGCATAGATGGCCTCATTGCTGGCTTGCAATGTTTACATTGCTTTCCTAAGGACTCCATACAGACATTTGGCAATTTTTTTCCAACACTACTTAGAATGACCCCAAGTGAAAAAATGTCACTGGATATACTGACAGGGAAACCTCTTAAAACCTCAGTGGCAATATGATTGTAAAAGGAAGTGTACTTTCGAGCTGTTGGCCTAGAAATTTGGCAAGCTTTACCAAAGTCTCTATCAAAAAACCTTTCTTTCCTGCAACAAGAACATTGTTTGACTTGACATCACAGTGCAAAAACCCTTTGTTATGGACATGAGAAAGAGCCTCTGCAATGTCGAGCAAAATTGAAATCCACTCATTTGTAGTGAGTGTTAATGGTTTTGCCATGGTTTGATTTGCATGTAACAGCTTATGAATTGTAACAGATTCTGTATCCTCACCAAGAAACTGCATGACTAACGAGAAAGGCTTTTCTTCAATCTGTACTCCCAATAGATATGGAATAGATGCATGAGTGAGTGTATTCATACATTGTGCTTCATTCATAACTGCTTGCAAGTCAGATGTTGGCAGTTTTTTTTCAAGAACAGTTACACCGAGCCTCTTAAATTTTTTTAGAACACACTCTCCATAGGTTCCAGAGCCAACAGGGGCGGTAGCCAGTGTATTTTCTGCCAGTGGTAACAAGTCGCTTGGACTAATTTGTTTTACTGAAGCAGCAATCATTTTGGTTGATAAGGTATTGCCAACTGCTGCACCATCCACTGAAATCTACAAACATTAGAAATAGAAGTGAATGTGTAAATAATCAAACAAATAGTAATTGGTGGAGTTGTTAATTATAGAAATTGGGGGGGGGCTTAATATAATAAATTTTTCTTTGTTGTAAAGGGTTGAGGGCGCTGCATGGGACTTTTAATAATACATTTCTTTATTCAAAAATCGAAGACAAAATATATTTTAACCCTTATACATGAAGAAAAATCGTTATACGTACCTTTCTTATGTGGCTTTGTACCGGTATTCTACGCCTTAATTCATCGGCCTTTTTTGAAATATTTTTCCATTTCTTGTAATATTTCTCAGCCAGCGCTTTTTGGTCCTTTACTCCATCACTTATTTTCTGCGCTATAGCCGCCTCAGCAACCGCGCGTTTGGCCATCGCTCGCTGTTCCCTCTTGCGCTTCTTGCGGCTGTTTCGCATTCGCCTATTCTTTTGCAGTTGGCTTACTTCGTGGCTGGCTTTCCCCATTATGCCGTTAGCAACAAAACCAAAAAAAGCACTCGAATATGTTGTATTATAGAAAAAAAACAAGTAGTTGTGATCACAGTCCCTGAATCAAAATTGATTTTAGCGCCAATTGTTTGATTTTGCGCGAAACAACGAAAATACAAGTTTCAGCAAGGGACTGGTGACGGGAGTGAGAAGTTATTCTATTAAAGTAAATGAATCGTGATGACATTTAAAATAAACATTTGTGACATTTTTTAAATAAATACTGATATAGAATAATTTTGTTTTGCAATAAATTCGTAAATAATAATAATCTTATAAAAGTTGTAAATCTATATATTCATTTCATAGATTTCGACAGTCTGATTGGGTGACCTATGTTCAATGTCAGACCAGCGTTGTTTCTTAGCAACGACCTTTCTGTTTTTTTATACACAGTGATTTCAGTGGTTTCGCATTGTAAAATATATGAATCGTGCTTTTATAACGAATAATTTTTTATCAACGAGCGTGTATTTTTGTAAAAACATATTTAAAAGAAAAACAAGGAAAGGAGACGGCTGTATTAAGGTGAGAATTCTATCGATTTTTCGTTTACGATTCTTTTATATATTTGGTGGCTCTTAAAAGAGCCGTTTTTTTAACTTTTCAAATTATTTCTTTTCCAGCTGCCACTGATACACCAGGGCTTTGCAGTATTTCATTTTGGCCATTAGCAGTTTGGATGTTGGATCTTTCATCAACTGTTTTGATGTTAGTAGTTTACCAGTTTTCTCGAAGTATTGATGCTCTATTTTCTTTAAATGTTCTTTGATGTTGGTTTGTTGCTGAGATATTTTGGATTCCATGACTGGTAAGATGTCTGTGTATGTGTCTATTAGTGTCTTGTTATTTGGAGAAGCCCTCAATCTTTTTCTTGCTCTGTCAAACTGAATCACCTCATCGGTCAGTCCTAAGATAAAACCCAGCTTTTGGCCTTGGTGTGTTTCTGTTTTTCTCTCTAATAAACAAAAAGAAATATGCTAAGTGCCTAAGCAAAATATGTTCATACATGGACGACAGTGATCTATGTGACAGTCAAATACAAATGTTGGTGAAAGTACCTTTATCTGTATTTGTGGTTTGCATGGTACCAGCTTCAGAATTTTCATCGGCTTCCTCCTGACAATTAATCTCAAGACAAGCAACATTTTCTTCAGAAACTTCAACTAACCTTACATTACGTCCAACAGTATATTGCTCACCACTTCCATTACAATCATCTGCTTTCTCCCCCTCACCACTAGTTTGAACAATGTCAACACAACCAACTACAACATCACAACCAGCTGCAGCATCAGAGTGTTCCTCAGCATCACAATCAACCACAGCATCACAAGCAACCACAGCATCACAACCAACCACAGCATCACAATCAACCACAACATCACAATCAACCACAACATCACAACTACCTTCAATCTCATCCACAGCACCGACATCTGCACATCCAATTTTCATACTTTCCTCATCCTCCTGATTTGTTGTACACATGACAGTCTCCATATTACCATCAGAATTTTCCACCTGAAGTACTTTTATAGGCATTTTTATTTTTTTCTCCAAGCAGGTTTGCCAACAGCATTTCAAATAAGCCTCTTCTTTCTTGAAGTTGCTGGAGCGAAAATGATGCAAAGTTGGTCCTTTAGGAACTGCTTCAGGATTTCCCTTTGCATCAAAAAACTCAATGTCACCATTGTTGCATGTTCTCCACCAAATTCCTTCACCTGCTAATAAGAAATCACAGATCCTTTCAAGATGAACTTGCCAAGATCTGTAATTCCTTGCTAGCATCTGTTTAGAAATAACAGTGTTTCCAAAATTTGGTAGAGAAGATGCAAGTTTGGAAACATGAGCTTCTTGTGTGTCGGAGGTTGAAGGTTGTTCAGCTTTCAATTTCTTTTCAGCCTGGACTCGGATAAAGACATTACCAATGATGTGGTCAGGATGGTTAGATGATGTCATTCGGGTTATATTGTTAATACTATTAAATACTCTTTCCTGTTCTTCTGTGTTTGTAGATCGGCCGCTTATTAATCTGTTCTGGATTGGTGCATGTGCTGTAATGTTGTGGAAGTAGTTACCATAAAACTTCCGAGTTGACATTTGCTTCAGGGAAAATCCGATAACTGACCTGCACAACATTGCATGATGAAAGGTAAGGTTATGGAGTCTCAGAACTGCTCGTGGTGTTCTCTTGGCTTCTGAGTTGTAGGCTATTTCTTGAATTTCTACAAGGGTGTCAAGCAATGATTGAACCTTTGGATTAACTGAGCCTCGAAGCTGATTGGAAACAACAATCAAAGCACAGCGGTAATCAAAGGTTCGTTTCGTTTCTTTCCCCCCAATGCTCAATTCAAGAACAGCCTTCAACTTAGAAGCTTCATTGGGTGGCAGATGGTCTGGTAGCTCACAAAATAGATTTTCGATGTGCTTCCCAATGTCGTGGAGGGGTTCAAAACCTAGAATCTCATAACTAGCACAGTTAATTGACCCTAAGGTTTTGTTGGGACTGGTAAATAGTAGGGCTGGCACTCTTTGAACTCCATGCAGTTCATCCCTCAAGAGATCTTCTAGTTCTTTCTTCTTTTTTCCTTCGTAGATTGATCTGGCATTCAACTCCCTGATCAAGTTGGGTTTTGTTAATCCATGGAAAGGTTTATTTGACTTTGCCAAAGAATTTGCTGCACCGCATGGGCCTTTAAACACCAACTGCTGTCGATCCTCCAATGATACGTGTGGGCAACGAAACACATAATCAAGTTCATACACCCGATGAGCATTGGCACCACAGATGGCACAGTAGAAATTCCCACCCTTCTGTTGGCCAGCTTCATATTGACGAGAAGGACTGTCACCATGGAAGAACCTCATCTTGTCTGAAACAGGTACACCAGTGGTTGTTGTAATAGGATCTGAGAGTTGTTCTAAACACTCAAGTCTGGTTCTATGTAACACAATTGATCTTCATCACAGGATGATGACCTTGCAACGATGTACAGACTTGGTGCTTCAACCAATGACTGGATGTTGACCTTTTTTCCAGTGATGGCTTCGTATTCACTGTTGGTATAGAATGTGGCTTGGTCATACAAGCAGGTTGCCATAAAGACAAGGTGGGAATGGTTTGCAACTGTAGATAGGTCATGCCATACGAGTAGATGCCGTGTTCTTTCCATTACCTTCAGCCGCTCTCTCATATCTGTTTCATCCTCACCCTCTTTTCTCTCATTTAGCATTGTCAACCTGTTCTCAACTTCTGTCACACTCATGCTATTCACATCTTTTTCATCATTAATCCGCATAAATTTCTCCAACTCATGTAGCTTTCTTCTCCTGATCTCAACCAGTGGGCATTTGCGTCCTTCCACAAAAAAGGAAGACTTCTCGATTGAGCCATCCTCTTTGAGCACTAGCTTCTCATACTAAACAAAAATGAAAGATTCTTAAAAGTTTACTTGGTCCGTCTTGTTAACAGTGTATTAACCCACTCATTGCCCCTTAATGGGTTAATCTACAACATTTACTACCTTATTAACATTTACAGTGCTTGCTTTTCTATATATGTCAATATTAGAAGTTAGAATCACAAAAGCTAAAGTGCATTTGATCTTGTCATTAATTGTAATTAATATATAATTGAGATTAAATTACCTTTCTTGGCACATTAGCTCCCCAACATTTATTTCGCCTGACAAAACTTTTTCTTGCAATTTCTTCAGCACTTTACCATTAGTTTCAGGAACAGGAACAGTGATTTCACCACCTGCACCTCTTCTTAACTTTTTTCTTATGTTGCCCTCATTACATTCTCTCCTTCTTTTCCTAAATCTTTCCACATTAACACCTTCTGACTTTAGCCACTCCATAGCAATTTGACCACCGTTTTGAGCTATCTCTCCAGCTTTGTTTTTGATTTGAAATTGTCTTGCTAGTTCAGACCAGTTGACCAAAGTGTCATCTCCATAACTGTTTACTTCATCTTTCATCCCTTCCTTATCCCATTCCATGTCAGCAAACTTGCCAACAGGACTTTTCTGTTTCTCTTGCTGTTTCTGCTGCCTTGTGCGTTCTATTGCATCTTCTTTACTTTCAAAACCAATTGTCAACCTTTCCCTTTGTCTTCCTGCTAATGATTGTCGATTTCCAAAGCATCTATTAAATAAAATTATATTTCATTTTCACTAATGATATATCACCAGCTACTCCGGCTGGATATTTTTACCTTAATTACCTGTAATTTACCCCTGATCACAGACTCAGGGTATATGATATCTCTATATACCCTGGCTGGATATTATAGGATATTTGTACAGGACTAGTTATCCTGGCTGGGTATGGTATCTCACTACTTATACCCTGGCTGGATATTTTTACCTCACTATAACTACCCCGGCTTCTTGGTTGAACACCTTTACCCATGAGAATATTTTTATATCATTACCTTATAAAAGATGTATTTTCCCATTCTTTCTGCACTGCTTCCTTGAATTTTCTGTAATTTGTTCTCCTTGTTTTTCTCTTTTCAGCTTTTGATTTTTTTTCCTCAATGTTCAGATCTTTGACCTTTGTCAGCGCATTTACAAGGGAATGGCCTGTTACCTTTTTAAAAATGGGGTTTACTTGGTCGTACAATGACTTTGCAGTCTCGCTCGCTTTATGGAGAGTGGTGGTGGTGTTACATGGTTGGTTACTGGGTAGTTGGATCGCAACAGTCGTGTTTGCAACATGAGGATTGTTTTCCTTCATTGAGCCTGTGTATCGATGTGATTTTACCGGGAATAATGCTTGAATATGACTGTATTTGAGCTGGCATGGCTTACAATTTTGAAACGTGTGTTCAATCTTCATCGCTTGGGACAGTTCATTCCATGCTTTAATGTTAAATGTCGCAGTGTATTGGTTCCGCTCTGCTATCTTCCTGTGGTTCCACCGACTAAATTTCACGCGTAGGGTTGGGAAATGTTTATCAAAACGTTTCAGGTCAAGGGGGAAGTTTTCCTTGCAGCTTTGAAATGTGTTTGAGAAGCGATCATATCTCTCCCGCATCAATCGCGCTTGATAAAGTTTTCGCGTTTCATTCTCTTCGCATTTTAGATTCTCATCTGCGTCAACTTGAGCTGAAATTTGCCAAGCGATCCCTCGCGCAAACCCACACGTTAAAGGATGAATGAATGTCCCAGACATTCAGAATTGTATTGTCTCAAATAAAATGAGCTACACTATAATTTATAATATCGATTGTATAGCGATAGTGTAAATATATTTTGCTGCGCCAACGATTGCGTTCTTCACTGCAGTAGAACGTTTTGAAATTTGCGCGTAAATTTAAAACTTGCGGAACTGCGTCACTGGTCTTGTGATAATTTCACATATTATGTAACCTAGCCATATAAATTTTCCTGCGTTTTGTCGCCAAAAATACATAACTTTCTTCGCAGTGTTTATGTAAATTTGGCGAACATATATCGCGCGCGTATAAAGCGCTTTTAATTCTATTGCAGAAGAAAATCGTATATATACATGCTAATTATAAGTACTTTTATCTATCGTTAGTACAAATATGAATTTTATAACACGCTATATTGTTTTCAAAATACAAATATTGCCCTAGAAAGTGAACATTTTTCAGTCATATTCATTTGAAAATGGCCTCCATGTTGTTAAACGCTAAATCACCATGGAAATAGCCATATTATTATGTGTAGCCGCTGCATCGATGTCAATATTACGCTGGCGCAATTTCATGATGGCGACTATTATTATTTAATGTCACACGAAAAACGCGTTCGACTTGCAGCATGATAATTTGGCAGATTTTTCACAATTTCATTAACTAAAAACATTAACAAGGGGGGAAAGTTTCCTACGTTTATTGGAAAATCGTACATTTATTTGGAAATAACATTTAATGACGCGATTAACATTCGTTCGACGCCGATCATCGTAATATAGCCTCATAAAATATTGAAACGAAGCCTAATTGTCAACTTTCCCGATTCATTCAACAAACACTGACATTATGTATGAATGATTATGGCAATTCTGCGTCCTTTCAATCACGAATTATACTGCTGCAGAGCCTCTGAATATAACGTAAATTTTTTTGTGTTGTTTTTCGAAATATACATCACGTGATCGTTGCCATGACAACAAAAAGTAGGTTAAATTTTAGAAACTACTTAGACAAAACATATAAAACTTGAATGGTAATAATTAAGGCCATACTTATTTTTTAATGATTTTTCGTTTATTTTCCCTAAATATGCTACTGGGAGCCAGGCATTAATGTACCTGAGCATTGAATTTCAAAAGTTAATACCAAAATTCAGCTTACCTGAGCGTCAAATCACGATAATTTGAGGGTATAAATTGCCCGTCCGAAAACTGGACGAATGTCCGAAAACTGGACAACAATATCTTGAAATTTTGAACCATCGAGCGATGATAAAAGGCGAAGAATAAACTGGGCGACATACTGTATATATAAGCAACAATGTGCAATATACTAAACGCCAATATAAACCGAAACGCCAATATACGAAACGTCAATATAAACCAAACAACACGTCAAAACATTGTAATTTAAAGCAAAATAGACAAGGCCGCATACGTATATCGCAATATGAGAGAAATCTGACAAGGAATCTAGCACATACCTTCGACAATCTGGTCTTGTCTAGTGTGTATTACCACGACTAGCCCAAAGCCGTATGTCTTTGTTTTTGTACTTGTCTGCGTCGATAAACCTTGTTAAAACAACTTCAGCTTTCTCATACGTTGATCACCTACGACGAATCAGGATCACTTTAGGAGCTTCTAGTCCAAGAATACGATCATTTTGACAAATTACGAACACAGACTTTGAAGAAATACAAAGACTCAAAGAGAAACAGAAACCCAAAAAAACCATAGAGATTATAAATAACAGATTGGCATTTGGCATTATTGAAAACATCATTCGAAAAGGGGAGCGCGATAATAGGGGCTAATTCAAGTCCCGGATGCTAAGCCAAGCACTGATTGGCTAGATCAATGCCTACTTAGCAACCACGTTAGCATTTTAGCAACAATAAAAAGAAATTATACGTAATTACTCGAATAAACGCCGCCCTCGAATTAACGCCGCAGGGACAAGCAAAAATATCATTAAACGCCGCCCTCGAATAAACGCCGCAACCTTTTCGTCATTGCGGCGTTTATTCGAAGCTTTTATTTATAACCACTGTAAGAAATTCAAGTATCTATCTTTACAAAAAAAGACAACATTGAATCTATTTTTCTCAATTTGAATGTTATTCTGCTGCCAAGCTCTCTCTCCAAAACTTCTGCGATGCGTAATTCCGTGGTAACAGCCGAGAATCTTGCCGGTACCATTAGACTGTATTGGTTAAATTGGCGTTTAAATTACACAATAAATTCAGAGTTGTTACGAGTTTGCAATAAACGCCTCCCTTTTATAAACGCCGCACTCGAATAAACGCCGCATCTTAATTGCTAAAAATTTAATAAACGCCGCGACGTTTATTCGAGTAATTACGGTATTCGTTATTTAGGACGCTTCGCCGGTTTTTTAATAGAAAAAACAGTGCTTTTTGAAACTGGTTTTACTACCTTAGACATCCTGAAATGATATTTTAGGGGAAAAACGATTTAGAAATAAAAAGACTCGTTAAAAACAACTTATTTTGGCCTCGGACATCGTGAATCATCCGGGACTTGAATTAGCCCCCAATTAATAACGCGCTCCCTTATTTCTCCTCGATGCCCACTCTCTACTCTCTACTCTCTAGTGTTATTTATAAATTATAATCTCTATGAACAGGAACTGGGTGGGGTTTTGGGTGTGGCCACTGAGCTATATGGCTCTGCGAACTGAAGTTACAAAACGGGAACAATATCTCTATAATTTTTCATGTCCTATTAAATATGAAATAAAAAATGATAGAGATATCGTTCCAGTTTTGTAACTATCGAATGATTTGTAAATTGCTGATAATTGCGGGTAAAAATACCGCCTTTAAAAATACTGGGGCATCGAGAAATTCAGCTAAGATCGAGGCCTTGGGGAATAATTTAAAAAATTACACTTTTTCAAACCTGCAGTTCTAACTTCTCTTGATAGTGGCGAAAATTAAGTCCGAATGTGAAAAATTTGTTATAATTTACCTTTTTTACTATTCTAAAGACTGCTTTCCAGGTACGCGTTTTTTTCATACGCACGTTACACACAGAAGTCTAAATTATTATACATGTTATCTCTGAAAATATAAATAAATTGAAAGAGTTTTCTATAAATTTTAACAAATAATAAAACATTTTAAGGTATTTTTACGTGGGTTTACGTGCGTATGAAAAACGCTTAAAGCCCCGTTCACACGGTACCGGATTACCATCAGGTCAAATTTTGAAGCTAATGAAAGACAGCGGTATTTTTTAATGTCTGAGCCCTGAATAAATATACCAAATCTATCAAATTAATAATGTCGTGATGAGCGGATCCGGTACCGTGTGACGCAGCTTAAGTGGAAGACAGCCTTAAGAAGCCAGGCAATAAAAAAGTGATTGGAAGCGAACCACATTTTTTGCAATTGTTTCGATATTGCTGGAATTCCTGCATGGGAGAAATTACCACAATAGGAAAATTCAAATCTATCGGAGCCACTGTTGCAGTCTTAAAGACAACTTAGGGAATGTTGAGACAACTTAGGGGATGTTAGCAAACACCGAAATACGAAATTTCAACAACAAAGTGAAAGCATGAAATGGTTTACAAAATTACAAATTTATACAAATTACAATTTACAATATATGCTGGCAGTAGGCAAATATTTAAATATTCAGCAATATTCTAGTCATGTTTTCTTGTGTGGACCAGGCACGTTCGAAGTCATAAAATCCTATTTTACCACTTGATGTTAGTTTGTTTACAAATTAGCTTCCTATAGTGTTAAATAAAAATCTAAGCTTGAGTATATTAAATTATGATAACGACCATCTGTAGGGTTTCTAAATTCACAATGTCGAACGCATTAAAGATAAAAACACGACGTTTGAAAAACGCCTAAGATATTAATTGTTGTGTTGTTTCGTGACCTTCTTTTTCATGAACATCAGATGTCTTCAACATAATATTATTCACATTTCAGACAAATTTTTACCATTTCCCAGCTCCGCTTCAGACTATAAATATCTTCCCCCCCAGCTAAAAACTAAACGGTCCCTGTAATGTACATAGTTCTTGCAGTTCATCAGGGACGTAATTTAGAACGATAATTGAGGTGGTGTTTATTCATATATTCAGTTCTACCCGACGGATTTCTATTCTAAGCTATTGCACTTACAAAACAAATCTGTCAGGCAGAACTGAATATATGAATATTTAACACCCACCCCCTCCCAATTGTCGTTCTAGTGCATGACGCCACTGAGTTCCGTTATCTTTCTTTTTCATCAGCATCAAACTTCAGGAACAAAATACAGCTAATATAGTTACTACAATTTCTACCATTATTTTCATAACCAGTACAATTACTATCAGCACATCGTAGTAACCAGCACCATCACCACCACCATAGATGAGAATTATCACCACCAACATGACTGTAACTACCATAATGAACATCCTAAACAACACCATCATACGACTGGCATTGGTCACAGTTTTTTAGGACTTGTTTCTTGCTGATGTATTGAAAATATCATTTGTTTAACAAACTGTAACCCCAGTTAGGGAGGCAAGGGAGTGCTATCACTTGCCCAAGGTGAACTCCCAGACAAACGGAGGGAAGGAGGTGTCTTACTTCTCCATTCTAGACCAGCTCCAAGCAAAGTCTAGCCGCTGCCCGAAAATAATGTTCTTGATGATCGTTATTCATGTTATCGCTCACTAAATCCATTATGAAATATCCTAACTGAAAAATCAGCTCCAAAACATCTGTCGTTCGTAACAAAGTCTTTATCAACTAAGTCTTCTACTATTGGTTTTCGTCCTCGTGTGAATGGGTTCTCTTCAGTTATTTTTAAGATCAAAGATATTCCATTTAATTGGTATAAAAAACTTGCGGGGAAACCCAACATGTAACAAAATATACAGTTTTGTGTAGATTTTCCTAAAAGCAGTTAAAACCTTTGTCCGCAAGACTACTTAATTGCGATTAGAAGAAAGGATTGCCCACTGCACCTCGCTTAATATTGTCCCACGAAGCAACTGCACTTCGCTTAATATCGTCCAACAAAGGATTTGGTGGAATAGACAGTCGAAGAAACACCATATCACCTTTGTTGTCAGGAAAAGCCAGCACGTCTTCTTTTGGGGAAAGATAATTTGTTTGTCTTGGCCTAAAAGTCTCCAAGTATGGTTGATAGGAAGTGTCGAGAATCTCGCCAGAGTCCAGGTCATGAAATGTTATCAGGTGATCAAATAAAGTTAATACAATTCTACTCTTGTGAATATATTCTGACCTGAACAACATAATGGGCTTGAATGCAGGAGTTATATTTTGAGAATCACCTGTGTCCAGATCAATTATTTGACTCTCAGCAGCAATCCTCAGGTCCATGACTACTGCGACTTTGGAATCATTACTGAAACTTACGACATCAGTAAACATGCTAGCATCACGCTGATTAAAGACTTCATACGAAGTTGGTTTTTCGGTATTTCTTTTCCAAATATAACATTTCTTGCTATTACAACCAGAGATAAAGGCACCACCAGGCGAGATTTCCACATTCATTCCACGCTCAATTCCAGGCAAATTGATCATTATAGGACCATCAACATCTCTGACATCGAGAACTTTCACGGGTTCATCCATTTTGAGATCCAAGCTGACAAAGCCTTTAGAAAAACCAACATATGAGCCTAGGAGAGCAAACAAGCTCTCTTGCCTGAATTCAGACAAGTATTCAGACAAGTCCTCTAGCGCCACGTCCTGACTATGAGTAAACAAGATCTCTAGATTGTCATCTACCTGGTATCGCGTTAATTTGGGAATCTCGTTAAATTGACTAATCACAAACAAGAAATCTTCCGACCACCAACATAAAAACCTTGACCTGGATTGACTGCTTTTGAAACGTTGTTCAACTTGGCTGGTATAGACATTCCAGACGTTGATATATCCATCTGAGTTGCAGGATGCAAGTCGAGAGCCGTCAGGAGAAAACGAATTCGAATAAACGAACGTTGGGTGTGACAGACAGGAATGCTCTCGCTTAGGAGCTAATGTCTTAAAGACAATTAGTTTTTCATTATCCGAATAGAGCCACAGATTATCTTCTAAAGTTGGTATTTTTATTGCACGGGAAGAAAAGTGAGGAGCAGCAACAAGATAGTTCCAAGCAACAATCGCAGTGAAAGGAATACTTTCTGTGTAACTCGAATAACAAAATTCTTCCGAAGAAAAAATACACTCCACACCTTTGCAGATCCACGGACACGAAATTGTATTAGTCGAACTTTTCCTTATTTTCAACTGTTTAGAATTTGGTTCTTCAAATCCCCGCTGAAAACATCGTTCACATTTCCTACTCTTTAACACAACTGGTTTCTTCCTTTCCCCCTGAGATAATTTTCGCTTATCACTTCTTTGTAATGTGATAGCGTTCCAAACACAAAACGAATAACCCGGATAAGATCGAGATTCTGAATTTGCAATAATAAATAACCCCGTGACACTAAAAAAACACCAATCAACAGGAAATCCAGCGAAAAGCGACGACAGCAGCGTTTGTTTAGCAACGTCCCATAGTTTAATGGTGTTTGAATGGTCGCTAGTCACCAGTCTTTTGCCGTTAGGAGAAAATGCACAGGACAGGAACGTCTCTTCATTTCCAGGGAAAAATGGAACTTCCTTTCTTCCAGCAATGTTAAACGCCGTTTCCAGTTTACCAAATAATATGAGCGAGTCGTCTGGAGAAAATGTGCAGCATG